TCGAACACCAACCGCAGATAACTACGGAATGTAGGACGTGCAACAACTGCTAGAATATTGAACTGTCGTCCACACAAAACAAATAAAGACAACTGAAAACCAAAACACATGCAACTGCCAACATGCATGTAACAGCGACTGCAAGCCAGAACTACAGACTCCGCGCAGGGTGGAACAGGGGAAACAGAGGTAACGCTTCCGACTCCGAGAGCTTCGAATAGCAGCGGACAACACAATACATCAACCTTGCATGTCACCTTGCGCTACCGCAAACGGACACCTATGGATGCACAGTACAGCACAGACTCAGTGCATGCACGGTGTAATAACTGGAGTACATGTAAACCGACAACGGTCACCTTGCACCCTATGCAGTAAGTTACAGAGGCGGTGCCAACAAAAGAGCAGGGTTCGTGTATCGTGCACACTCCAATGGCACAGCAGAAAATGTTCTCACCAATAGCCACTGCTAGCTGTTTTGTCATCTTGCTGTGCCAAATGATGCAGTAAAGACACGCCAAGCAGAAATTGACTGCTTATGAGCGTGAGCAGGCTGGATGGGGTGACTGATGGACTGTCGGAGTTGGCGAACCACAGAAATCGTGTCGCATCTCTGTATGCTGGGTTGGCACTGATTTGTAAAATGGCCTTCTCAGTATCGCAGGTCATGACGATTGGTGGCAAGCAAAATCGTAGAACAATGATGAATTGCCTAATGGCTTGGTCGTTGTTAGTAAGATTGCCTGAATCCTGGATGTCAACTCAGTCTAGGTCCCACAGATCTGGGATGGTGCAGGAGTCGGAAGATGCATCAGTTAGAGAAACGATAGCTGGCATGGCTGCTCATCGGCATAGCTGAGTGCTTGGAGTGACGTGTTCGGCCAGTCACCACAAAACCGACTGTGGTAGGCAGAAACTGTAGTCCTGGCGGAAGTCCTCTGGTGCTCCCCGTCATAAACTCCCAGAGGAAATCTGCACCGATCAAGATGACTGACTATCTTACAGTCAATGGCGATACTGGTTGATGCTGCACTAGCTGCTGTTGCGCCAGATGCTGGCACCTCGTCAGCCACAGGCTGATCAGCTACTATGTTGGTCCTGCTGTCAGATTTCTGTTGAGATTCAGGGCAGATCGTGACATGATGGTGACTCTGATTGGTGGCCCATGCGAGAACACATATTACACTTGCGGGTGGCCTTGCACTGAGTTCACCGGTGCCCTGCGCGCAAACACACAAAGCAACGCTTCTGTTCAATCAGTTATTCTTTCCACTGTGCTACTGTTGTGTATTTCGTGCAGCTCTTGTCCAGGTGAGATCCGCCGCAGAATGCACACCCTCTCATACTGCTGGCATTCCAGTTACCATCAGACCGCTTCCTTCACGTGAACTTGCATGCGCCTGTCACCAGTGCACCTGCAGAATAGTGAGTGACATCTTCTGCTGTAGTACCGCCTGTGTTTGTGCGGCGCAGAAAGGCGTTTTGCATGATAACATAACGCTTCAGTGCTGTTCTGAAGTCGTTCAGTTTCCATTGTGTCCCTGCATCTGAAAAGCCTCGCGATTCTTCGTCGTCAGGTTGCGATTCGTCCAGTTGAATCAGCGTTCGTCATGATCCGTATCTTGGTCACAGCACCATGTGACGATCTGGTGACATCAGACGGATATAATACACAAGAGACAATTGTGATATTTCTACGTTGTGTTTACTTCAGATACATAATCTAAATAAAAGGGGGTTTGTCAACCGACAACCGCTCTATTTAGTTGCTATTCACTCTTTAGATGAAAATTCTTATATTAATTATGTTGAAAAATTATGCGGTTGTCAGTTGACAACCCCCCTTTTATTTACAATGCAGTTGCGTGATGTGCACCACTTTCTGTGCATAATCTAAGAGTCCTAAAACAGCCACTGACTTCCAACTACCAAGGGAAAGCAAGCCCAAGCGCAGGAGAACCGTGCAGCGCGGGTACGTGACATATATCGTAGTAGAGCTGGCAGGCAGGGCATGATCAGGGGTTCAGGCCCTGCCTGTAAGCGCTCTGATTGGCTCAAACCCTGGCAACAATCACGTGACATGTCTGAAAGTACAAGTAGTTGCGATTTATGCCGAAGTTCAAACTGATGGAACACGTGCAGCGCTACACCATGAACCGTGTGGAAACAAAAAGAAGTAGCAGGGGCGTAGCAGCCGCTCCGGCCGGTCCGGCTTTGGCCGGACCACTTTTTCGCCCGACCACGACCACCATAGTAAAACAATGCCAAAAATGCCCAGAATGCAGGATTTTGTACCCTAATTTCAAAAACATTTAGGGGGGAGATCTCCCCGACCCCCCCCCCCCCCTCCGGCCGGACCACCGCCAACGGCGGTGCTACGCGCCTGAGTAGAGGAGACACGGGATAACAGACATGAACTCAGGGTCAAACTGATAACTGTGAAACGTGAATGCATGCAGTATATGGAGACAAAACAAAGTCACAGAATTCAGTACGTAACAAGTACTACACACTAACCTCGTACATGTGAATGTCACGACACCATATGAATTAGCTCTTACACCCCACTTATGTTTCAGTCAGTAAGAGTACACATGCGTACTTACGTTGACTCCATTTTATCTGACTTGTCCAACACCATCGTTGTGAGCCTTCGGCACTTGGGAATACACAGGACAGATAAGATAGCAGCAAGAGCATCTCCCCGCTCTGTGAACACAGCTCAGACGCCATGCTTCATGAGTGTGTGCCCATGGAATACAAGGACACAACAGACTTAGTGCAGCTAACGATATGGATGAATGGTCGACGGCCTGAGTGTTCTCCTTCCTCGATGAACACTGACAGTCACCATATACCATGCTTGATGTTTCAAACACCATCGGCGCAGGCCACGTTTTTCGGCACCGATGATTTGTTCGTCCACCAACAGTCGAAACAAATGTTTCTCACTTGAACACTCCGTAGAGCCGCCGCTGTTGTGCCAAGGCCCATTGGCGCATGGTGTGTATACTCCAAATCTACATGTATGATGATGGGCCACTGCTGACGTTTCTGCTCTTGGACAGTGCAACGCCGCATGAAGATATGGTGTGGCTCCACAATCGCTGAGAACGCTAGTGTGCGTCCATGGAATACTAAAACACAATAGGCGCAGCGCAGCTAACGCCCACTTGGATGAATCGGACGACAGTGGTGGTGAGTGCATTCTCCTTCCTCGGTGAACACTGCTGGTCACCCCGTTTGATGATCCACCAAACACCATCGGTGCAGGCCACGTTTTTCGGAACCAGCCATTTATTCGTCCACCAACAATTGAAATTAATGTTTCTCACTTGAACACTCTGTAGAGCTGTCGCTGTCGTGACAAGGCCGTGTATACTCCAAATCTACACGTAGGTTGAAGAGTAACAGTTACTGCTGATAATGAAGTTTGCGCTCGTGGACAATACAACGCTGTGTGAAGTAAATTGTGGCTCCACAATCGCTCTGAATGCTAATGTGTGTCCATGGAATACTAAAACACAATAGGCGCGGTGCAGCTAACGCCCAACGTGGATGAAACGGACAACAGCAGCGGCTAGAGCGTTCTCCTTCCTCGGTGAACACTGCTACAAGACATTATGCTTGATGATTCACCAAACACCATCGTTGGGGGCCAAGTAACAGTTTTCCGGCACCACTGCGAGTTGTTCGTCCACCAACTAACTTTGAGTCATTCTTCAACACTTCGTAGAGCAGCCGCGCAAGGCCTTTCCTTCGCGTTAGGGTAGCGATCCTTCCTAGATGATATCGCTATTCATTGTTACTTTTTACTACAATGAGTAGTGTTTCTCCGAAAATAAAGTCAGCTGCCATTACTGCATTACTAGTGTAGGCACTATATTAGTGCGCCTAGGCATACTAGCGCCTGGACTTGTAAAATTAATTTTGCAAGTCTTCAATCTGACAATCATGTAACATTGTTTGCATGTACGCGCTATCCAGCCATGTGGCGTGAACAGATTGCTTGACGTGAAAGGTACGAGTCGAGTCGTACGCGCGCGCTCGCGGACGTGTCTGACACGTGAAACGAAAAGATTTTTTTGGCGGGTAGACGGCAAAAATAATTAAGTGACGGTCCCTTTAGTCCTTCGCAACGTGACTTAGTCTTTGCCGTGACCATGGTGACGTGACCCAGTCTTGACCGCGAAGGACTAAAGGGACCGTCACTTAATTTTTGCCGACTACCCGCCAAAAAAATCTTTTCGTTTCACGTGTCACTGACACGTTCGCGGACCGCGAGCGCGTACGACTCGTACTCGCGCTACCTTTCACGTCAAGCAATCTGTTCATGGCTGGATAGCGCGTAAACATGATTGAAGACTTGCAAAATCAATTTTTTTCCAAGTCCAGGTGCTAGGCCTAGGCAGTACTAATGCCTAATCAATGCCCAGGCAGCTGACTTTATTTTCGGAGAAACACTACTCCTTGTAGTAAAAAGTAACAATGAATAGCGATATCATCTAGGAAGGATCGCTACCCTAACGCGAAGGAAAGGCCTTGCGCGGCTGCTCTACGAAGTGTTGAAGAAAGACTCATCAAATTTAGTTGGTGGACGAACAACTCGCTGGCGCCGGAAAACTTGGCCCCCAACGATGGTGTTTGGTGAATCATCAAGCATAATGTCTTGTAGCAGTGTTCACCGAGGAAGGAGAACGCTCTAGCCGCTGCTGTTGTCCGTTTCATCCACGTTGGGCGTTAGCTGCACCGCGCCTATTGTGTTTTAGTATTCCATGGACACACATTAGCATTCAGAGCGATTGTGGAGCCACAATTTACTTCACACAGCGTTGTATTGTCCACGAGCGCAAACTTAATTATCAGCAGTAACTGTTACTCTTCATCCTACATGTAGACTTGGAGTATACACGGCCTTGTCACGACAGCGACAGCTCTACAGATCATGCAGAGTGTTCAAGTGAGAAACATTAATTTCTATTGTTGGTGGACGAATAAATGGCTGGTTCCGAAAAAACACGGCCTGCACCGATGGTGTTTGGTGGATCATCAAACAGGGTGACCAGCAGTGTTCACTGAGGAAGGAGAATGCACTCGCCACCACTCCGATTCATCCAAGTGGGCGTTAGCTGCGCCGCGCCTATTGTGTTTTAGTATTCCATGGATGCACACTAGCGTTCTCAGCGATTGTGGAGCCACAACATATCTTCATGCGGCGTTGCACTGTCCAAGAGCAGAAACGTCAGCAGTGACCCATCATCATACATGTAGATTTGGAGTATACACACCATGCGCCAATGGGCCTCGGCACAACAGCGGCAGCTCTACGGAGTGTTCAAGTGAGAAACATTTGTTTCGACTTTTGGTGGACGAACAAATCGTCGGTGCCGAAAAACGTGGCCTGCGCCGATGGTGCTTGAAACATCAAGCATGGTATGTGGTGACTGTCAGTGTTGATCGAGGAAGGAGAACACTCAGGCCGTCGACCGTTCATCCATTTCGTTAGCTGCACCAAGCCTATTGTGTCCTTGTATTCCATGGGCACACAATCATGAAGCATGGCGTCTGAGCTGTGTTCACAGAGCGGGGAGATGCTCTTGCTGCTATCTTATCTGTCCTGTGTATTCCCAAGTGCCGAAGGCTCACAACGATGGTGTTGGACAAGTCAGATAAAATAGAGTCAACGTAAGTACGCATGTGTACTCTTACTGACTGAAACATAAGTGGGGTGTAAGAGCTAATTCAAATGGTGTCGCGACATTCTCATGTACGAGGTTAGTGTGTAGTACTTGTTACGTACTGAATTCTGTGACTTTGTTTTGTCTCCATATACTGCATGCATTCACGTTTCACAGTTATCAGTTTGACCCTGAGTTCATGTCTGTTATCCCGTGTCTCCTCTACTTATTTTTGTTTCCACACGGTTCATGGTGTAGCGCTGCACGTGTTTCGTCAGTTTGAACTTCAGCATAAATCGCAACTACTTGTATTTTCAGACATGTCACGTGATTGTTGCCAGGGTTTGAGCCAATCAGAGCGTTTACAGGCAGGGCCTAAACCCCTGATCATGCCTTGCCTGCCAGCTCTACTACGATATTATATGTCACGTACCCGCGCGCACGGTTCTCCTGCGCTTGGGCTTGCTTTCCCTTGGTAGTTGGAAGTCAGTGGCTGTTTTAGTACTCTTAGATTATGTACAGAAAGTGGTGGACATCACGCAACTGCAGTGTAAATTAAAGGGTGGTTGTCAACTGACAACCGCATAATTTTTCGACATAATTAATAAAAGAATTTTCATCTAAAGAGTGAAAAGCAACTAAATAGAGCGGTTGTCGGTTGACAACCCCCCTTTTATTTAGATTATGTGTCTGAAGTTAACACAACGTAGAAATATCACAATTGTCTCTTGTGTATTATATCCGTCTGATGTCACCAGATCGTCACACGGTGCTGTGACCAAGATACGGATCATGCCGAACGCTGATTCAACTGGACGAATCGCGAGGCTTTTCAGATGCAGGGACACAATGGAAACTGAATGACTTCAGAACAGCACTGCTTGGCACGTCTATACAGCATCATTTGGCACAGCAAGATGACAAAACAGCTAGCAGTGGCTATTGGTGAGAAAATTTTCTGCTGTGCCATTGGAGTGTGCACGATACACGAACCCTGCTCTTTTGTTGGCACCGCCTATGTAACTTACTGCATAGGGTGCAAGGTGACCGTTGTCGGTTTACATGTACTCCAGTTATTACACCGTGCATGCACTGAGTCTGTGCTGCACTGTGCATCCATAGGTGTTCGTTTGCGGTAGCGCAAGGTGACACGCAAGGTTGATGGATTGTTTTGTCCGCTGCTATTCGAAGCTCTCGGAGTCGGAAGCGTTACCTCTGTTTCCCCTGTTCCTCCCTGCGCGGAGTCTGTAGTTCTGGCTTGCAGTTGCTGTTACATGCATGTTGGCAGTTGCATGTGTTTTGGTTTTCAGTTGTCTTTATCAAGTTGTTTTGTGTGGACGACAGTTCAATATTCTAGCAGTTGTTGCACTTCCTACTTCTGAAGTACATTCCGTAGTTATCTGCGGTTGGTGTTCGAGAGAGTAAACTGTGTTCTTCTCCAGAGTGGAGTAAACCATTCGCTTGTGTCTGAGGAAAACCCTGTGTGTTGACGAAGAGGTTGACTTGGCTGTAGAGTGAAAGTACCACATGGTCACATGGTCCACAAAATCTTAGAACTAACTTAGGGTCTTCTGGCGTATGGTATAGTTATATGAGCAGCATGAGAGTGAAGTAAAAGACTATTAGCTCAAACATTCAGGCTTTCAAGAGTAGGTGTTTTATCACGGAATAGGTTCTGCAGTTCACTTACACACTGCAACAATGGACCAGCAGTGTCCAGCATACAATAGAGTCATGTGAATATGTACCGTATGCATACTCACAGCTGCAAGGCCAGCGCCCCGTGGCTGCTTGACTTCTCAATCGATATAAATATTCACAACAGTAAGACTCTGTGATCAATCAGAGCTGTGCTTCGAAGTAGTCACAAAACAAAACTTGGCAACCAGTCACAGCTTCCACGGTGCCCCAAGACCAGTCACCAGAAATGATCGTAGTAAATCTGCAGGGAGTTTCATAATCTGTTCATTGCAGAGTCCACTATGCTATGATTCAAGAGGGGGGTAGCGTTCCTGCGGATGCGGAAAACTTGGCTGGAACCCGAGTGTCACGTGAACCCTGATTTTTAAGACTTATTATTTGTTTTACGATGAGCCTATTATACGCGATACAGGCTCAGAACACACTTTTCGTCTAGTTGGAATATCAGGGATATAGGGCGGAGCAGCCCATATCCCCAATTATGACACGCGAGTAATAGTGAAATACGATTGGCGTATTGTGCTGGACTGACTGCGGTAATGTAAAGCTAAAATAAAGCAGTCAGTTTGCCCTTAGCATGGCCTTGTCATGACGGTGCCACATCCGTGGAAAGGCAACATGCCGGCTAATCTCCCTGAGAAGTTGAGTGGTTATCAGCAGGCGATGACGCTGTGTCGATGATGACCTGTTGATGCCCGACAGGAACCTTGCGAGGCGAGTCATTGGGCCTGACGGGTAGGTAAAGCCAACTTCCACATGAAGTTTGCGGATGGCTGACATGTAGACATGGACAGATCGGGGCTGAAAAGTTCTGAACAACTCGGCAGCAAAATAACACATAAAGTAAAAAGTCATCACCTGGCAATGGATTCCAGTTATGCCCTTGACAGAACTGGAAGTAACGGGTATCGGCGGAAAAATATTTCCGGCTGGTGCCAGTGCTGCTAGCTGCAGCACGGAGTCCGGCAACTGAGAGTTGGAAAAGACTGGCTGATCTGGCTCAGCTGCTGCTTCCGGAGCCCTCGATGGTTCAAACACCATCGGCGCAGGCCACGTTTTTCGGCACCGACGATTTGTTCGTCCACCAAAAGTCGAAACAAATGTTTCTCACTTGAACACTCCGTAGAGCTGCCGCTGTTGTGCCAAGGCCCATTGGCGCATGGTGTGTATACTCCAAATCTACATGTATGATGAAGGGTCACTGCTGACGTTTCTGCTCTTGGACAGTGCAAAGCCGCATGAAGATATTATGTTGTGGCTCCACAATCGCTGAGAACGCTAGTGTGCATCCATGGAATACTAAAACACAATAGGCGCGGCGCAGCTAACGCCCACTTGGATGAATCGCAGTGGTGGCGAGTGCATTCTCCTTCCTCGGTGAACACTGCTGGTCACCCTGTTTGATGATCCACCAAACACCATCGGTGCAGGCCGTGTTTTTTCGGAACCAGCCATTTATTCGTCCACCAACAATAGAAATTAATGTTTCTCACTTGAACACTCTGTAGAGCTGTCGCTGTCGTGACAAGGCCGTGTATACTCCAAGTCTACAATGTAGGATGAAGAGTAACAGTTACTGCTGATAATGAAGTTTGCGCTCGTGGACAATACAACGCTGTGTGAAGTAAATTGTGGCTCCACAATCGCTCTGAATGCTAATGTGTGTCCATGGAATACTAAAACACAATAGGCGCGGTGCAGCTAACGCCCAACGTGGATGAAACGGACAACAGCAGCGGCTAGAGCGTTCTCCTTCCTCGGTGAACACTGCTACAAGACATTATGCTTGATGATTCACCAAACACCATCGTTGGGGGCCAAGTTTTCCGGCGCCAGCAAGTTGTTCGTCCACCAACTAACTTTGATGAGTCTTTCTTCAACACTTCGTAGAGCAGCCGCGCAAGGCCTTTCCTTCGCGTTAGGGTAGCGATCCTTCCTAGATGATATCGCTATTCATTGTTACTTTTTACTTCAATGAGTAGTGTAGTGTCTCTCCGAAAATAAAGTCAGCTGCCTTGGCATTAGGCATTAGTACTGCCTAGGCCTAGCACCTGGACTTGGAAAAAATTGATTTTGCAAGTCTTCAATCATGTTTGCATGTACGCGCTATCCAGCCATGTGGCGTGAACAGATTCTGGATTGCCTGACGTGAAAGGTAGCGCGCGCGGGCCCGCGAGAGTCGTACGCGCGCTCGCGGACGTGTCTGACACGTGAAACGAAAAGATTTTTTTGGCGGGTAGTCGGCAAAAATTAAGTGACGGTCCCTTTAGTCCTTCGCGTCTTGACCTACACAGGCTACAGTCTACCATGGTCTACACTCCGACTCTACAGAGCATGATAGCGCTACAGGCCAAGACTGGCAAGAGAAAAATATTTTGCCGAAGCCGAAGTAGTCTACAGTCTAGTACATGTACCTAGTACAGTAGTAGTATGGTTTGTTTACTTCTTCTTGCGATGATGTCTTTTTACCAGTGTAGTACCCAAGAAAGAAGACTGCAAGAGTTTATGGACTCTTGCCACTACTCGTACTACCGAGCACCCTGCTGTTTCTCGGCAGGTAAGTAGCTCAGCTTCTCAGTATCGACAAAAAGAGTCTTGTGGAGTAGTGTGCGGCTGGCTCTGAGGATTCTGGAGACAGCGAAGTAACAATTACATTAATTTTTGTTGTGTCAGAGTGTCCTTATGAATATGAGACTGCGAAGTTGCTGCCGATTCGAGAAATCGCAGCTGGCTCTGACGCTGAGTGGATGCCGCTAGCGCGCTGGAGACAAGAAAGAGAGTTGCTCGGCGAGCGAATAGCCATTCGAGAGCGGAGTGGCCAAGACTCAGTCTGCACAAGACGAAGTAAAGGATGTCCCTCCTGGTTACTACTACTAGCTCAGAGACAGCTATTCGCCTATTCTATGCTGTGAAACGAAGGGACGATTCTTTAAGTGGAAGAACAATCGTAGATGTGCTGATCTACATGTACTTGCATGTAGTATCACCCATTTAGCTGTGTTATAGTGCTTGTAGAACTGAGTCCGTGGCAGTTGAGCCTCATGAAGAAGATCAGAGCAGAGTGTGATAGGATTAGCGCGACGTGGACATTCGCCACTGGAATAGGACATCATCTATTTGCATTATGAACATGTCACTGCCTATCCCAAGCTCAAGTCTTCGATTGCGTCAGTGCAGAATTCCTGGCTGTAATTGTGTGCAGCATCCAAACGACAACAGCCAGTTCCAGAAATTACACACTGAAGGCTTGCTGGTGTTCACTAAGCACTTCAAGTGTGTCCTGAGGCAGAACTGAAACGGCATTGACAGAGTGTTACGTGAAGAAGACAGAGGTATTACTATTAGTCAGTATCAGGAGTGTCATACAACATCAGGCATTATGGCAGATAAGAGATGAGACCAACAGGCTTGGCAACATCAGCCATAGCAAGAATCACAGGCATAACAAGATCCGCAGTCATAGCAGAAGCAACAGCCATGGGAAGAGCAGGCAGCGTAGCAACAGCAATCACAACAACGCAGACGCAATAACATTTTCAGTAGCCGTCCGTCTCAGTACTAACAGCAAAATACGTAGCACGCTGAATGAGCAGGATTATCGTTCCCAGGACGCAGGAGCAAAGCCCACAGCAGCATTGCCGACGGCACCAGGAATGGTCAATTTGTTCATAATGATAATATGCGTTGTAGTGCGTGTGTGTGTGTGTGTGTGTTTGTGTGTGTGTTTATGCATGCATCAGCTGTGTGGTGGATAGTAGATACCAGGATAAAATTAGTGGTGGTCAATTCATCAGCCTTGCAAGCTGTTGAATGGTGTAATCCCAGCACAAGTTGCTATGTCAAACATAGCTGTTCGCCATCATCGCTTCCGCGACAGGCATGTCTGAGTGTGCGTGCGTGTGAGCGGTTGTGTGTGTGTGTGTGTGTGTTTGTTTGTGTGTGTTTGTGTGTGTGTGTGTGTGTGTGTGTGTGCCAGCTAGTTCAGTTGGTAGGTACACTTATGCCTGATTGTGTTGGGTCTGTTGCCAACAGGCTCGGCTGCTTGAAGGTGCAATGTTGTACCTGCCACCTTTGTTGGTTCCAGGGTTCATATACTTTCTATTTGAAGTACACATACCTGCAGGGCCGGCGCCACTGGTACGGCCGGTACAGCCATGGCCATACCAATTTCCCAAAAAGTCGGTCCACGTGGAATGTCCAAAACCGGGGAGAAAAAGTTTCGATGATGATTTTGTACAGGGAGTCGCCCAGAGTGCATGATTTGCCGTCTAAATTCCAAACATTTTCTTAGGGAGGACCCCAGACCCCCTTAAAGATGGCCATTCGGCCGCTCCGCGGAAGCAGAAACAGCCTCCGGCCCTGACCTGCTAACCATGGACTGCTTCTGGCTAGATTAACTCTTGTGTAATCAATGGTGCTAGTGAAGCTTATATCAGATCCACTCTGATTTAGCCACCCACACTAGTAGCAAGTATTGCTTTCACTGGGGGCAGGGGTAACTGCAGTTGGATCCCGGGACGGATACCCTGATGCAGTCAATCCTTTTTCTGCACCTTGTCATCACCCACTTACTGAGGAGTGATAGTACATGCTCACACTCACACATTGCTCAATTGAAGCTTTCAGCAAAGAAGATGTCTAGTGTTGAAACGATCTCACCGGGTAGAGTCTACTCGTTAGCTCGCTCGCCGGAAACTCGGCTCGTTAGTGCGGCCAGCTCGTTTGCACTAACAAACACCGTAGAGGGGACGGTTT